GGTTCGTGTACAGAGTGAGGCAAGTTATTGCGATGAAAGATAGAGATTTGTAAAATCGTACAGATCTGTGAAACATGGAAACTCTGTTGATCTTTTATTTTATAATGGAGACGTTTTGACTCCTTTAATTGAGGATTAAAATCAATTATTGATTTCGGTTCTTAAGACAGTTATGTACAGATTTTATGTTAAATAATTGTTAGAAAAGACTTGAAATATCTGACTGCATCTGTTTTAGTTTCTATATTGAGTTTTACATTGGTACTAGAATCTTTACTTTTTCTATATTCGATTCAAAATATTTCTAACTTTGTAGTTTATGTTAATACATTTGTTTAAGGGCACGAATTGGCACAATATTTAAATGAAGAATATATTATAGTAATTGACATGGAAATATCAGATTGATTATTACTTTTGTAGATTTCTTAATTCGTTGCATTTGGTTATGGAACATATTTATCAATCAAACTAATTTCTTCAATGATACTAGCCTCTTTTACATGTATACATGACTATCTTCTCAGTTATTAAAAATGCGAGGAAATTGTTTGATTTTATGTAAGAAAGAAATTGCTTAATGGAATTATATATCATCATTATTATCAATTTACTATGCATTTCAATTTTTGCATTTGTCAGCAATGAAAGAAGTAATATCGTGTATACATTTAAACTGTACATAACATTACAATATACATTTCTGTGTACTCATAAGCTACACTGCATATTTACATTTCATTTTCCTACAATTTATACAAATCTCCAAATCAAGTCGCAATTATACAACATAAAATGAAATTGAACAACGAAGTTCTCTTATCAACTATTCATCTAACAGTGTACATTCCAAAACAGAAACTCACATCGGCATTAGACGTTTGCAGATCGGTATTGTCGATATCGGTCGTCGTGCCGACCTTCATCAACGCTTTACCGAGTGTCTGCTCGCGTTTACATTTGATATAATTCTTGGTGTAACGTCTGAGCCTAGCGATTTCGAGCTGCTGGTTCCTGATCACGTTGTCCTTCTCACAGAGCAGCTGCCTGATGGACTTCTGCTCCTGCTTCAGCCGTGCCTCCAGCACCAGCAGGGCACGGAGTATCCGCGATAGCTGTTGATCTCGAAGACTCCTCTCGGACTCGTGGCTCGCAGTGCGATTGTCCAGCTCTTTCACCAGATCACGGCATCTCTTCGTGGCTGCCTTTAGGGCTTCCTGGGTACGAACCAGCTCTTGCTTGAGCGTCCGCACCTCCGTTTCCATCTGCAAATAAATTCAACAGTTAGACAATCAGATTCTCTTTAAGCTTTGCTAATTAAATCTACATTTCACTTTTTTATTTAAATTTTGACTAATTAATTTACGATTTACTGATTTCGGTGTAGGAATTAATGGTCAAATGGAACCTGGAAGACTGTTTATTCGAAGCATCAGGATGTTGGTGTGGATTGGCAAGCTTCTTTTTCTGGGAATGGTGTACACAAGGTGTCTGAAAATTGGAATTTTATGAAGTAGTTGTTTTATATGACAGGTTGGCAAAAAATATTCAGTATTTTGATCAGGATTATTAAAATCCTTTAGAAACGAAATATATTTTTATTCTGTGATATGAGAATTTAGAGGTGATTTGAAAAATGAAAAGTTTGCAGAATATACGTTTCTTTGGGAACATAAATATGCATATCATTAATATTGCTTGCTTCAGGTATATGGTATGTCAGGTATCAGGTATATAACTGGTATATCTGACGTTTTATTCATAAAATTGTTCTCATTTTATTTTAGAACATTACTCACGTGTTACATTGTTCTATTTGCAATCTTAATATTAAAAATTGGGAAAATATTTTAAAGAAGCTAAACTCACCATAACATTGATTAACCAAAATGAAAGAAAACGAAGATCTCTGAGAGTTAATCAATATTTAATACTTAATAAAATAACTCGTACAAAGTAATAATACTAAATAAATCCCAAACAGCAAATAATCAGAATTTTATTTTCCTCTGAACAACCACGTATCTCACGATTAAACCAAATTACCTAAATGATCAAAATTATCTGTATTAATTGAAGAAATATTCCATATTTAAACCAAGCCATCCAAAAATAAATTTTCAAGAGATAACAAAATACCTCATCCATCCCCCCTCTCTCACCCCCAAAAAATTCCAATCTTCCATACAGTCGATATAACCAAGTACTAAACCACGAAGGACCAACTTGATAGCCAGAAAGCACTCTCATCCACGAAAACAATAACGAAGAAATCTCGAAATCGAGTTCACAGACGATGGAGGGTCGCTGGTGACCCAAGGAGGAACAATGAAAACGACGAGAGCGAGGTGGACCCTTCGCTTTGTTACACGAGAAGAAAAGTCTTGAAGGTTGACTCCGGAGGAGGAACCTTGGAATTCGTCCAGGTGTAGACACTACGAAGACCGGAAGGACCTGACCTGCAGGAGCTGGTAAGCCAAGCAGACGAGAAAAAAGAAGCGGGAGAAAGGGAGCCAGGCGAAATAAAAAGGGGATTCATTGTTCGAGCTTTGGCTTAAGGTCTATTTTACCTTGCCTCCTCCTGTTCCATGGGGTGACGGTATACGTGTGCGTTTGTCGACTCAGCATCGGCAGCACGAAGATCAATTTGTCAATTACGATGAGATATTTGAAGTAAAATTTATTTTTTGAACCGAAGAAACATTTTTCTCTGATTATTTTATATTGGTAATAGCATTGTATTATTTGGTGCAGAGTTTTGTTAAAGAATTTTGCAAGGTTGGTTAAAAAATTAATAAATTATTGAAGAAGGGTTTGAATAATTAAATATTACTTTTTCAAAATTGATATGTGAGTGTTACATTTTCTATTCGTAGTAGTGTTGTAATATTTGTTGAATTTTTTAATTACTTCCTAAGTTAAAGTTTTGTTAAGTAAGATTAGAATTAGGAGAAAGTTATTTAATCGATTAAAAATTAATTAATATTAAGCAAATATTTATTATTGTTTAACGTTAACGATAATAGTTAGCGTTTATCAATGATCAATATTGAAGAAACAATGTTTAATTTATTCAAACTCTTCTGCTATAATTTTTCTTCAATATTGATAAACGTTAAGCTGGTTAATAAATATTTACCAAATATTAATTAATTTTGAATTGATCAATAATATCAATCTGATACTAATGAAATATTTAATTGGACACTCTGATTCATGAAATATTCAATTGAATAAGTAATTCCATTTAATATTAATTATTTGTACCACTTTATTTTATTGTTTAATTATATTTGGTTTACTATTTATTTATACTAATAATTGTACTTTACTTTTCATTCTAATATTTTGTGTATGTATATATATATACATAGAATATTAGAGTAAAAAATAAAATACAAATATTAGTGTAAATAAATAGTAAACCAAATATAATTAAACAGTAAAATAAAGTGGAACAAATAATTAATATCAACTTGAGTCAATTATATATATATAATAGTTATAAATATTAACTTATTGTTAATGTATATAATACATACATAATATACATAGAATATTAGAATAGAAAATAAAATATAAATATTAGTATAAATAAATAGTAAACCAAATATAATTAAACAGTAAAATTAAAGTGCTACAAATAATTAATATCAAATTCAGTCAATTATATATATATTTAATAGTTATAAATATTAATTTATTGTTAATAATAAAATTATTAATTAATTTCCAATGTGAAGTTATTAACACCATTGAAGTAGCAGATAAAAATTCTTGGAATTAAAGTACATGTAATCTGATTTAATGTCCAGAGGAGAAGGGCACGTAATTTCATCACGCATTTATATTATAGAGATGCCTTTTAATCGAAGAATCTACAGCATCATCAATATCTTTTCCATCGGTTATTAATTGCTAAAAATTGTGGTAAATATAATTACACGTTATTGCATTGTAAAGATAGAGTACACAGGATGCAATTAAATAACAATAATTTCATTCAGCACTCTGCCATTATGCTTTCGTCCCTGTTTTATTGCATTGAAAATTGAGTCATTACTGTGAATCGAAAAGAACGATATTTTACCGCGGTGAAAAATCAATTCGATCTATTAATATATCGATTTCTTGCTACACCGAGAAATCGATTTCTTATCGTATCTCAAGGTTCGAATTACTTTGTATTATTTTAGTGATTAATCAACGTGTCAATTTACCGAAGTTACATGGTTCTTTCCTGTGTAACTATTTGCAAAATTTTAATGTTAATATTATTAAAAATAATTCTGGAATAATAATAAAATATTAATCCGTGATATAAAATAAATAATAATAAAAATAAAAATAAACAAAGATGTTAAAAGTCTGAGGTATTGAAATATTAATTGATGTCCCAAAATAAATAATACAAATATACATTAATATATAAAATTCTGGGATGTTCGATGAATATTATTTTATGAGTCAAAATAAATAACACAAGTGGAGAAATATAACATAATATATTGAATTATTAACAGGATACGAATTTACGACAAAATACAAATAACAAAAATAAAATGAATAAATAAATTTATAAAATTCCAGGGTACCAAAGTACCAATTTATAATCCAAAATAAATATTAAAAATAAATAGCAACAAGATAATAAAATATTAATTCGCGACCCAAAATGAATAATAATAAAACTAAACGAAATAAATAATACAAATATACATTAATATATAAAATTCTGGGATGTTCGATGAATATTAATTTATGAGTCAAAATAACTAATACAAGTAGAAATATATAATATAATATCTTGAAATATTAATAGGATACGAATTCACGACAGAGTACAAATAACAAAAATAAATAGAAGTTTATATAATCCAAAATAAATTTTAAAAATAAAAAATAAATAATAAAATTAGAAGTTAACAAAATATTAATTCGCGACCCAAAATAATAATAAATTAAACTAAATATAACAAATAATAATTAAACTAAACGAAAATGTACAGTATCTCTACAATACTAATGCAATACTAAACACACGTTCCAAAATGAGCGATAAAAATAAAAGTTTAAAAAAATAAAATTCTAGGGCACCAAGAAACAAACCTAATAAAATAAAATTCCAAAGTATTATCCAGATATTAATCCAGACTTCAAAATAAATAACAGAGATATAGAGAAACAAAGAAAATTCTAAAATACCAATCATACCATAATCCATCAAATCATAATCCATAATCCAAAATAAATAACGAAGATAAATAAAATCCCATACTATTAAAGAGACATCGATCAGTAAAAATGTATAAAATCCAACATGTAAAATATAATATGAAATATAGGAAAATCAATAATCTATAAAATGAAGAAGAAAAGAAAGAAAAATACCCTGCCAGAAAAAAAGAAAAATTCACGTACAAGACGAAGAATTTATTCATACCAAATACCCATAGTGTAATCGTATCAGTAAGCCTGGAGCGTGCAATTAAATCGCGAGATGCTAATCGCATGGAGAACGAGAACGCGTCTTTTCAATTAAGGTACATTTCAAGGTAACGGAACCGTGCCAAGGAAATTTACGGCGTGGCTACGAGAGCCCACTTCCTGACATTTCACGAACTCCGTTGTTAATGGTGTTACCGCGACGCGGCCTTAGAGCGCGCTGCGATCGCTCAGTGATTTTCTGTCCGGGCGATACATATTTTATCGCTGGTAGGTATCACGCGTTCTTGGTATGCGAGCAGTGAAAGGCGAGAGGATGGCGTTCGCGTTATTTTATTATGCGACACTTTCACTTTTATCTCCTCCTTTCTGCTCTGTCACTTATCATTTTCAGACGCAGCGTTACGAAATTCCGACTTATTCTCCAATTATTTTCTCATTATCACGAGGTTGTATCATCTTCTATTTTCTCGGGATTTACAAGGTACATTGATGCATTAGGATCATTGTGTTTATTTATATTTAAAATACTATTAATATTTATAGCGTGTCATTTAGAGTTTCTAGATGCAGTATGATGAAATTAGAATTCTTCTTAGGGATAGCAGTGATTTAATGATTAATAGAGCATTGGCTGATTCGAGGAATTTATTTTCAATTATTTTCCCATTATTGTGAATTTATTTTACTTATTTCCTTTTTTCTTTTGTAATGAAGATTGATATATTATTGATGCGTTAAGAAAACTACATTGCAGTGAAGTTTCCATTTGTTATATTTATTTGTATCTAAAATACTGTTTTTGCGTTGCGAACTCGGT